CCCAGGTCAACCTGTTTGCCACCCACAGCAACAGGAAGTGCCCAGCATTCTGCTCCTTCCAAGGTCACAGCCCGGGCTCCTTCACGGACACGTTCCTCCTTCCCTGGACAGGTCACCTGCTCTACACCTTTCCTCTGTTCCCCCCCATGCACAAGGTCCCGCTCAAGATCCACAGGGACGGGGCGAGAGTGATTCTGGTAGCTCCAGTGGGGCCTCGCCAGCATTGGTACACCACACTGCTAGAGCCATCGGTGGACGTTCCGGTCCCGTTGTCTCTCCTTCACAACCTGCTCACTCAGGACCACAGTCACCTCTGTCATCCAATCCTGCGGTTCCTCCACCGGACTATGTGGATGCTGCATGGCTGAACCCCACAGAGCTTCTGTGTTCAGACCCCATAAGGCAGGTCCTGCTGGGCAGCAGGAAGCCCTCTACTAGAGCCATGTATCTGACGAAGTGGAAACAGTTTTCGTGTTGTTGTGACCAGCACCGCACACCACCCCTCCAGGCGCCGGTGCCCTTCATTTTGGAGTACCTCTTGCACCTGAAGCAGCAAGGCCTGGCGGCGTCCTCCGTGACGGTTCACCTCGCTGCCATCTTGGCTTTCCACCCAGGTGCGTCTGGCCGCTCTGTCTTCGCCGACCCCATGGTTAGTTGTTTTCTCAAAGGGTTGGACCGTCTCTTTCCTCAGACTGGCAGCCTGTCCCTGCGTGGGACCTCAACCTAGTCCTTTCGCGACTCATGGGGCCCCCATTCGAACTGCTGGGAATGTGCTCCCACCTGCATCTTTCCTGGAAGACAGCTTTCCTGGTCACCATTACGTCAGCGAGACGTGCCTCTGAGCTGAAGGCCCTCACTTCGGAACTGCCTTACACAGTCTTCCACAAGGATAAGGTACAACTCAGACCACACCCGGCCTCTCCCCCCAAAGTGGGGTCAGCCTTTCATACCAGCAAGGATATTTTCCTGCCCGTTTTTTACCCGAAACCACATGCTGGTCCCTGGGAACAGCAGCTGTATTCCCTCGATGTCCGCAGGGCCCTAGCTTTCTACATCGAGTGCACTAAGCCGTTCAGGAAATTGGCCCAGCTCTTCGTTGCGGTGGCGGACCGGATGAAGGGACTCCTGGTCTTCTCTCAAAGAATTTCCTCCTGGATCATGTCCAGCATCCATGCAGGTGAGTAACCAATTTTTCTTCTTTGAGTGCTTGCTCATATCAATTCCAATTAGGTGACTCCCAAGCCTTACCTAGGCGGTGGAGTCTGTGTGAAGGAATGTTGACTGGAGTACCGCTCTACTGAAAGCCACGTCATTTCTGGTGTGCCAGACAGTGGCGTAGTGCGAGGCAAAAGTATGCACCGAGGACCAAGTCGCGGACTTGCAGATTTCCTGGCTCGGTACCTGGGCCAGGCTGGAGCTCCCCAGCTCCTCTTGCCTTTCCCCAGCACTGCTCTGTCCAAGGTACCATTTGCTCCTTCAGGCAGCTAGGTCCATCTCTCTCCAAAGCTAGAGAGAGACTCTTTCAGCTCCTGGCCCCCAGCCCTCTTATCAGGGTCAGCTGGGCCCTAATTGAGCTGGCCACACCTGTTGTCAGCTACCCCCTCAGCTGCGCTCACTCCTTTTATCCCCTTGGAGTGGGGCAGCTGCCTCACTACACCTTCCCATATACAATATAGCTCCTTATCTACTGATTAAAACCCGACTAGTATAAATCTCTCCTAAAATACTTAAAAGGATGTTGGCCATCTTGGGGGAGCAGGCAGACACTGTTCTAGGTTTTGTCCCACAATCAAGGCTTTTATAGCTTTCCCATTAGAGGTCACTGCTGTATAAACTCCCAGGCTGTCACTCCCCATAGAAAGTGTTAAGCTGCTATGCAGTGACTACACCCAGAAAGTTGTCAAGGGCATGATGTGGGTTAAAGCATTCTCCTGTGTCTGGCAGGTGAAGCGCTGAGATCCCTTTGCATTGCAGAGCAGCTGCACAGAACATAGCCTGAGCAATTGTTACACTTATAATAGTGTGCATTAGAGTGCAGCATGCACTTGTCACAAATAACAGGCTCTTTTCCTAGGCAGTTACATAGAGTTAATTGAGAATATGGAATTTGGTGAAACACCCAGAAAAACTTAATTTAATACAAACAACTATAATTGAAATAATAGAAAATAAATATAAGAATAGGATAAGTGAGGTAAAGTGGTTTCCTGTATTGTTCATACTTACAATCTTGCAACTTATGTGGACCATTGGAAGCAAAGATAGAAACGAAAGTAAATAGAGCCCATCAGAAGGGAGGTCCTGAGTCAGTGTACACCATCTCAGGGACCTGACAAACCCCAAAGAAATGGGAACTGCATATGGCCTTTTATACCCTTCTTTATGGTAACTGTACGGATATATACCATATTTGACCCTTTACTCTGATTATAATTTGGTCAATCTCTAACCCCTTCCATATGTGGCCTCTGGAGTGTCCATAATTAAGTATAAATATTCATTATTTACAACACTTATTTCTTAATAATCCCTATATGTAAATATAGTCTAATGATTTAGATACTGCATAGCATCTTAATTGCTAAAGCCCCCCAAACTTCCCTTCTTGCAGAATTTTGTGGTATACTATACCCATTTCTGGTTACCTGTTTGTCTCTCAGAATGGGTGTGCAAAATATCTGCCCTGGGGTATTCTCCTTAGACCTACGCTATTCAACTAAATCCCAGCCTTTAACTACTACTCCCACAAGGTCTCATACTAATCACAACAGTCTTTTAATCATAGCAAGCCTAATAACCCAGTTATTTGTTCTCCTACTTGCTATTACAGCTTTCATAACTTCCATTAAACATGCTGAGCAATGGGATTCTATGTTACTCAAAACTATAAATCCTCCAAGACCAGGTCAGGGGTAGGGTTGCCAACTTTCTAATTGCACAAAACTGAACAACCCTGCCCCACCCCTGCCTCGAGGCCCCACCCTGCCCCTTCTCCGAGGCCCTGCCTGCCCCTGCTCACTCCATCCCTCCTCCCTCTGTTGCTCGCTCTTCCCCACCCTCACTCACTTTCACTGGGCTGGTGCAGGGAGTTGGGGTGCAGAGGGGTGAGGTCTCTAGCTGGGGTGTGGGCTCTGGGGTGGGGCTGAGGATGATGGATTTGGGGTCTGGGAGAGGGCTCCAGGCTGGGGCCAAGGGGTTCAGAGTGTGGAAGGGGATGTGGGCTCTGGCTGGGGGTGTGGACTCTTGGGTGGGGCCTGGGATGAGGGGTTTGGGGTATAGGAAGGGGCTCCGGAATGGGGCAGAGGGTTGGGGGGGGGCTTAGGCCTCCAACTGGGAGTGCAGGCTCTGGGGTGAGGCCGGGGATGAGGGGTTTGGGGTGCAGGAGGGGCTCAGAGCTGGGGCGGGGGGGCTGGGCATTGGGGGGGGTGCGGGCTCTGGGAGGGAATTTGGGTTCAGGAAGGAACTCTGGGCTGGGGCCTGGGGTTGGAGTGTTGGAGGGGGTTCAGTGTGCATGGTCCCGGCGGCGCTTACCGCAGCTCCCAGGAAGCAGCCACTAGGTCCCTGCAGCCCCTAGGTGCATGGGTGTCTAGGGAGGTTCCGTGCACTGGCCTTGCAGCTCCTATTGGTTGCAGTTCCCAGCCAATAGGAGCTGCAGAGCCAGCACTCGGGGCGGGGGCAGCACACGGAGCCTCCCTGGCCACCTACACCTCTGCCACTTGGAGCTAGGGCAGGCAGGGAATCTGCCTTAGCCCTGGCCCTGCTGCGCTGCTGACTGGACTTTTAATGGCCTGGTCGGTGGTGCCAACCAGAGCCGCCAGGATCCCTTTTTGACCGGGCATTCTGGTCGAAAACTGGATGCCTGGCAACCCTAGTCAGGGGTCAACAGGACAGTAAATGCCCACCTGGCCAGCCTGAACTAGGTGTTTCCCAGGTAAAATGTACAGTGGCTGTGGGCAGGGCCGGCTCCAGCATTTCTGCCGCCCCAAGCAAAAAAAAAAAGCCGAGATCGGCGGCGGCAGTTCAGCGGCAGGTCCTTCGCTCCTAAAGGGAGTGAGGGACCTGCTGCCCCCGAATTGCCGCAGGTGCCGCCCCTCTCCCTTGGCTGCCCCAAGCACCTGCTTGTTAAGCTGGTGCCTGGAGCCGGCCCTGGCTGTGGGAAGAAAAGAGACAGAATTTGTTAAGCTATGATGATGCTTGGATGAGGGCCTGGAAAGAGACCAGACACAAGACAGCTGCTTCTGGGGATAGGGCAGAGGTGCTTCCCTGAGATCCCTGCACGAAGGAGTTGCTTGTAAGTTGTTTATTACCCCCTGTTCAAGGAAACTTAGTTTGTGTATAAGCAAATTGCACTGACCTTCACCTGCCTCTGCATCACTGAGTTCTGGCCCAAACAGGAAACAGATGTGCAAGACCCCAAATTCTGCTATCGCTCATCAAAGGGTCATCAAAATGATTTGTCCCAGCACTCACTGGGCCAGAAGAAATTCCTGCCATACTCTCTAGGTGTCAAGTATCAGAGGGGTAGCTGTGTTAGTTTGGATCTGTGAAAAGCAACAGCGAGTCCTGTGGCACCGTATAGACTAACAGATGTATTGGAGCATAAGCTTTTGTGGGTGAATACCCACTTCTTCAGACATGGTGACGAAGTGGGTATTCACCCACGAAAGCTTATGCCCCAATACATCCGTTAGCCTTAAAGGTGCCACAGGACCCTCTGTGACTCTTTAGGTGGTTCCCCCAATCAAAGAGGATTACCTCCACTTTATCTGCACTGAGACTTTGCTCATTCTTTCATCTGGGGAAAACATGGAGACTCTAAAAAATGGATTGATGATTTTTCAGCACCGGCTTTTCCTTCCCGCGGAGTCAGCGCTGAACCGGTGTGTCAGCTTCTCCGGGTGAGAAGCCACGTGCTGACAGGGCACCGCCCATCGCACGTGTCTCAGAGACGCGGAGCGAGGGGCGGCTCTCCCCGCTGAGGGGCAAAGGCCCCTCCCACCGCCGCCTAGACGCAAGCCGGGAAGGGACTCGCGCGCTGATTGGCTCGCGGTAACCCCATGACTGGCGGGAGCCGCGCTTGCTGGCGGGTGGGAGCGGGCATGGCCGCGGCGCCGGGTGTGACGGAGCGGTACTTCACGCGCTGGTACAAGCCAGGTACCCGCCCCTCCCCCCGCGCGGGGCCAAACCGTGTCACGGGGGGGGCGGTCTCCTCTTCCGCCCCCCCCGGGGGGAGGGGACTGGTGGTTCGTCTCCCTCTAGGAGCGCGCGGCCCGGGCGCGAGCAGCCCCTGTGCCGAGCCCCGCCATCGCCCGCGTGTGCGCTGCGGCTGCGCTCGGTCTGCGCGGGTCTGGCCGGCCTGGCCCGGTGGGGAGGCGGAACCGGGCCGGGCTGCCAGCGCTTAGCCGGTGTCCTCCCTGCCAAGGGGCGAGCTGGTGTGAAAGCCTCGCTCAGGCTTTAGCCTGCAGCCCGGGCTGCGCCAGGTCAGGTGGGCGGGTTTTGTGTGACGGGGGCGGGGTGGTGCGTGGCTGTGTGTTGTACATACTTTCCTTGGGCATGCGAGGGCTGGTCTATGCTAGAGTTACCATATTTTGTGCCTCCGAAAGGAGGACACTCCACGGGGCCCCGCCCCCAGCCCCGCCCCAGCCCCGCCCCCTCCCCAAAGTCTCCGCCCCTCCCCTGCTTCCC